ATGAAATGAAACCATCACACGTACTTTTGGAATGTGGGGACAACTGGCCCCTGCCTGGGTGCCGGGGCCTCGGATGGTCTGGCAGTGGAGGTAGATGTTCCCGTCCCTGTCCTGGTCCCTGTTAGCCTCCGTGGCTCTCTGGAGAGGCTGTATACCCTAGATAGGAAAGGACAGAGGAAAAAATTCCCCCCAAATCATTCTCTATAGGACCCTAAATCAGAATCCATCCCATATTAAGTTATTGCTACTATTTATTGAATGCCAGGGAAAAGTGCCAAGTACTTTTTACAATACAATAATGCAATGAAGAAATTGTGCCCACAGGAAATGACTCAGGGAGGTTAAATATTTTGCCAAGGTTCGAAGCTACTAAGCGGTAGAGTGAGGATTCAAATCCACGTATGGCTCTTGGACGCCAAGCTACGTGCCTCTGGTTACCTATCCCGTAGGATGACGGATCTCCCTGCTTCCCATTCAGTGCCACTGAGACGACAGGTGAACACTCCCAGGAGGACTGGTATTTCCTTTCATTTTCTCATCAATTGTTCAGCCTGTCTGAGGCACATTCAGACACACCCACTCGCGTCCATAAAGCTCAATCACTCACTTACTGATCTAGGTCCAGTCAATATGGCATGAAATTTACCCTTTAATTCTTATTTTTCTCAAATGCCAACAGCCCAGTATGCTCCGTTACAGGAACTTTATTTACAATGCACTTCCAGCCTTGTAACAATGCACATAAGCTACCAATCCATCTTGTAGCTCATTCCCTGCACCCTGTTTCTCGCAGGCCGTGGGGGCATCTCTAACCACCACAAAGGTTAACAAATTCTTCATCACTATTGCAGTAGAACTTGGTTTAAACCAGTGGTAACGACCCAGAGCTCCTTTTATGATTTTCCTTTCATGAATCTCAGGAATTGCTGTAATGTCAACAACTACCCCAGAGTAAATACACTGCTCTGTTATTGAAGAAGATGAAGGATATTAACCTCTGGGCTCTCAGGTCCCCATGTTGGATAATGCTGCATAAATGGTTTCAGAAGGGTTGTGATCCTGTAGTTTTGACAATTTGTAATTCACTGCACAGACCAGAGCAGTCTGGACGTCAAACATGCTATTTATAGGATTTCATGCAATATAAAGTCTTCCCATCATTGCTCTCCAAAATGGCATTTCTTAAGAGGAAAAGAGAAAGAAAAAATAAAGAACAGCTCTTGTAGATTGTCACTCACAGAGTGTACCTGGATGAATATTTTAGACATATTAGCCAATATTCAGAAAATTGAGATTATGGACAGAGGCCCACAATGTTCTGAAAAGATGTGCTTAGAATAAATGTATGAAACAATAAACTTAAGAGAGACGGTCAAGTCACTCTGATTCGAGGGCACTTTGCACAATTTAAAAAAATTCAAGTGTCACCGTTTAGTGAGCTGGGCATGCCCCCTCAGCCTCGGCTCATCTGCCACAGTTCTGAGGGGTACAGGAGCCGCTTCCCCTCTGTGCCTGGAACCAGGACCTTGGACATTCCTGTTAGGAAGGGAATCGGCTCTCCTATTCTGGAGAGGTAAGTAGCAATTTTGTTGTCTTTACAAAAATACACGAGGACTAGAGGATAATTATAAACAGCCATATCAAGTCCAAGCTGGGTTAAGAAGGCTAAGCCTCTGAGGATCTGCGGGGCCCCACAGGCTAGTGTTCCACCCTCGCGTATGGGCGGAACAGCACCGAGGAGCATAGCCCCGGTGACGCCAGAGCTGCAGCACAGCAAAGGCCCTCAGCACTTGCTGGTCAGAGAGCACAGCTAGTGCTGTAACTCAGGACGCTGAAGCCGGAAGGGAAGAACAGACGCAGAGGGAAGTGGACAGACGGACACACACGGCAAAGAGGCCACTGCACCTCCGATCTTGACTGCGTCACAGGCTGCGGCAAAACAGGGCTCATTCGCCCATTACTAGCTCTGCTTCCCTTTCTGCACAAGACATGCTTTCTCTGACTCTGTCCCATTGCTCCAGCACCTCCTGTTCCTAAAGACTGGGTCAGAGTTGTCACCGGCCCAGAGACTGTCTCACTTGAAAGCTGATCACCATCTTTAATTATCAGGCGGAAGAGCTGTTAGACACACGGCACATCTCTCCCCCAGGATTTACTCCACTGTCACTATGCAAAGAACGTTTATTTAATTCTGTGGGAGCACTTGAATTTATGCCCCATTAAAGTTCCCTTCTGAAAATGACAAGCTGAAGCCACATCTGACAATCATGACGTCCTTTGGATCCCACACACATCCTAAAGAGGGAAAGCTCATTTCATGATCACAGAACCCGTAAAAAATAGGACTTCATTTCAAATGTCTAATTTTTTAAAGTAAATGAAATGATTTCAGGTGTGTTTATAGAAAACCTTTATGATTAGAGCATTCTATCAACACTGGACATGCTCTGAAAAGATTCTCTTACATCATAAGAAATTACAGCTTAGACTGGAGGCCAAAATCTTTTCTTTTCCTGTAAGATTTACTTTTAGTGTCACAATTAACATTTCAAGGTCAAGTATCAACGTCAAGATAGAGCGTCAATATTTATGTTCTTACTCATCTTATGTGCCACAGGGGGGGAAAAACTACTTTCCTACCTAGACTTGGTTACATAAATGACTCTGGGTGTGACTACCATGTATGAGTCAATCAGTAAACAAACAGGAGTCCCCACTATGCACCAGGTAGGACCAAAGTTCTATAGCTCATTTGGGTCAGGGCTGCAAGCTTCAAGTAACATCAACTATAGAGCTGAGTTGAGACATACATAAAAATCACCTAGAGTACTTGCCAGGAAGAATGTCCTTTTTACTTTTAACCTCTTTTTGGAGAAATATCCTCTGACATGATTTAAAATGATGAAGGACTCTAACCCCACCAAGACTGCCCCCCTCCCAATTCCACGACCCCTGCTAGATATAGGGAATCTCTGAGCTTGTGCCTTAAGGTCTGTGGGAGATCCTTCAAGGAGCAGGAGAAAGTCTAGATCTTCAGTTTCTGGGGAGTTATGTCCTGGAACAAAGAGCCAGAAGTGGGTCCTGGCTCAGGAGACTGTAGCAGGGAGGGCTCTGCATGGATAGCTGAGCATGACACCTGGCCCAAAGTGCTGCCTGATGTCCGGGGCTGTCCATATCTGGCTCCAGCCGCTGGGTGACCCCTGCCTCATCACCCTATTTAGACCTATTCCACTGGCCCAACAAAACTTCTATTTATCCTGACCTGTCCCAGTTTCTACACCTTTGCTCATGCTATTCTGGAATGCCCTTCTTTGTCTTCTCTCTGCTTTTCCAGCTCCCATATATTCTTTCAGTTCATTCAAAATGCCATAATCTCTATGAAGGCTTCTCTTATTCATCACCCAATTAGACGTTCCTTTCTCTTCTGAATTCCCACACATATTATTTATGTACAGCTCTCTTCCACTGATTATCACACTTTAACTTGCATGATCGTCATCTCTTTTCACCTGTTATCTTCCCTACAAACTGAAAGGTACTAGAACTCAGAGTCCAGGTCTTACTGATGGTCGTATTTCTAGCATCGCATCCACTAAGTAATTCCATGGTTTTGAAATTGGGTCTGCACAGCACCAAGGTTCCAGAGAGGCGTCCTGAGACCACCTCCTGGTGGGGCAGAGATCACTCAGGGGTATGTGGAGACCCTCTCCTCCCAGTCTGTGCTTCAGTCAGATGAATTTTTATTTTGTGTCTTGTATTAATTGTGATTAATACGAGTTCTTTCCTTTAAGAATTCTGCTGCAGATGGGGGGGGAACCCCCCATTGCAATAGGTACTGTCAAAAAAATGAAGAGAATTACACCCAATGCCTCTAGTGCTTTCTCCCTTCGGATACAATGAAATCCAACAATCAAATACGAGAAGCAAAGGTTCAGAGTGCCTGTCAACCAGACCGTGGTCAAAACAGAGGGCCCTTTCTCCTCTCTTACACTGACCTTTTACATTAAAGTTTGATAGAAGCCCCCTCAAGCTCTGACTGAGTTATGTCTAAGGGTTGACTAGAACCGCCTTGGCACCTGGTTCTGTTCTGGGGTGTGTGTGTGGGTGTGTGTGCGTGTGTGCATGTGTGTGTACATGAGCACACCCACTACACTTTGATCTCAATATAACTTCAGGGATACAGGAAAGAGATACAAATTATGCTGATGTCTCTTGATGCCCCCCCGGCCCCCAAGGAGAAACCTACTTCTCCTTCAGTCTTCCCTGGCACTGTAGAAGGGCCTCCCACCTACTCTGCTGCTCAGGCGAAAAAATCTAGGAATTTTCCTTGATTTCTCTGTTTCCTTCACTACCCACACCCAGTTTATCAGTAGATACCGTCTACCTCTGCAACGTGTCCGAAGCAGCTCATTCCTCCCTGCCACCCACTGCTACCAACTGCTGTGCCTCCGGGCACTTACCATGCCAGACCTCTGGTGCTCTGACCGCCTCTCTCTAGTCTCCCAGCTTCTGCTCCCCCCCCCCCC